TTGCCTATCCCCCGGAACTTTTCTTATGATTTTTGAAACGCCAGCAAAGTTCAACTCGGCCAAAGTTTCTTCCCACAGTCGCTCTCTTATATGATATCCTTCCTGTGTATAGCATAAGGAGGGGTACCTACTATTGTCAGAACATGGTAATAAACATGATGACATAACTTACGGTTTAATCGTCCAGTCACTTAAGAATGAACCGTGGCTCTCATTGCCTCGAGCCGTAACAGCATCAACGTATATACTAGCAGCGACCGCGACCGGTCGTGCAAGAAGGAACTGTCCGAAGCGTATAATAGGCATGAAAATGGAGGGTATACCACGGAAGAAATCTGTGCCCTTGGTCATTCCTGGGTTTGCCATGTTCACCAAGACATCATCAGGGTCGACGAGCTCCGCAAGCGTTGACACGAAAAGTATGAGCAGTAATTTCGTCTTCCCATACCATTCGAACTGAGTGAAGTGTTCCGGTCTATCCAGCTGCTGTATCACAGGGCCCTTCTTTTCAACAGTCACCTCATAGGCCCTATCAGATCCTACAAAGGTGAGCACAGGGGGTCTTGAATTGCCGCCGGTCCTCCCTTTCTGTTTGAGAATGGGCAGGAGAAGGAGCCCTAAGAGCACAGTTGAGAGGTAGTTCACCTGGCACATTGTTTCATGCTTCGTACTAGGTACGATTGTGAAGGGGGACTTCATGATACCCGCGTTGAGGATGGCGATATCGAGCCGAGGTAAGGTCTTGCACCGATCGGCAAAGGCGCAAATAGACTCATACGACTCGAAGTCCACAGTCCAGACAGATATAATGGCAGCTGGAAAAGCTTTGCGAAGGTCTTGCGCAGCCACTTCGCCCCTCGTCTGCGAGCGAACAGCCATGATCAAGCGAGAGAGGCCGAGCTTGAGCAGCTGGCGACATGCCTCTAACCCAAGTCCGACATTACTTCCAGTAACAATAGCAACTTGATTAGTTAGTTTTGTCGTCGCTGGTATTGGCTTGGGTCTTGTAAATTGACGGCATAAGAAGCCACAGACCGTAGCCTCAAACGATGCTTTGCTTTCGAGCTCTGAAGACATAGCTAAAACCACCGAAATCTGAAGAGAGGCGACTCATCAAGGACCTTAGGGAGGCGCCCTGGAATCTCGAGGCCATGACTCTACTAGTACACTAGTGTTATCTTCGGTATCAGGTATTACGATCATCGTATCACGACAACAGCACATCAGGATCATTCGACGCCTTGACTCTACACTACATTGTCGAACGTCTGGATGACAGATACTGTGCGAGGTGGGTGGTTTTCATACTGAGCTGTGCCCCCGGTCAGTACTGCCCGGTCACAGAAAAATGGATAATGCAGATAATCACGATGGGTCCGGATGGGAATCCTGGTCCCCACATCGCGACGTTGAAGAGGGCTGCAACTTTCCGCGAGCGGCGCCTCCCGCCCCCCTTGTCACCCTTGCTAGTCTCGCTAGTTCACCGGGATGTACGTAGTAGTCTCTGAGTGGGCTTTCAGAAAACGAGACGTACTTCGTAGACGCAATAACCTGCAAGAAGCACACTAATGTACGAGTGGTCTAGAATAGGCGAAAACGGAGAGATGATTTCGCCGTTTGTTGTCCGCGTGCAGACGCCTGAAGCTTGAGCCACCACGATGCATGGAAATAAATGGCTATGGATCCTGGTAGCTATTCTTCACGTGGATACTGCTTTCTCGCCCACACGGTACGTAGATTAATTTTGGGTTCTCCAAGTGCCTTCCCCCCTCCCCCAGGATCGTCTGCACGCTGACGGCATATAAATAGCCAGGGTAGGTAGGGTGTGTGGCAGAAGATATACCCCTAGGGTAGTTGCAGTCCTTGACCCTGAAAGTTACAGTACATAGGATCATTATTCAAATACCCACATCTCGAGGTGCGTTTGGTCTCAGTGCATAATCTGCTTCTGGTAACTCAGACGGCGCAATTCAACGACCGTGGCATCTTTCCACGACGCTATCACAAAGGTTTGTCCCGCCGTGAGGCCGAGATCCCCCGCCTCCCCGGTCTAAGTATCCGTGCATACAGGCATACTAAGTGGCTAGCTAGGCACTTGATGCTGCGATTGCATGTTTGTGACTTTGCTAGTTAGTGTGAAGTGTAGACTAGTTGTTGCCCTTGTGAGAGCAATCTAGCCAGCTCAGAAGACTCGATAACCAGCGCCAAGACAGGTCACCAACACTAGGAAATATGTCGGTGCCGATAACTGAAGTGGACGATGTCTTTGTTGAGGGGCATCAAGAGAAAGTCGAAAAGTCAAAGTCCCTTCCCGCCGATATACCATCACCCCTACTCTCCCGCGCTTCGACAATCGCACCCCCGACCGAGCACTCAAATGGCTCAACGCCGGATCTGGCGCCTGAGCCGGACGCAACGCTGAGCACCTATCCTAGTGGGTATGCATTATGGCTCGTCATTGCGGCTCTCGTGTCGAGTATCTTTCTGATCTCGCTGGACATGGTCAGTACTTACGTCTAGCCCGTATTGCACCTCTTCTCTGAGACCTAGATAGCAGAGGGAAACAGCATGGCTAACTTGCACTCCAGACTATCGTGGCGACAGCCATCCCATCCATCACGGGAGAGTTCGGCGGTATCCAAGACCAGGCATGGTACGGCTCAGTGTTCTACATGACGGCCGGCGGCTTTCAGTCGACATGGGGCAAGACATATAGATATTTTCCTCTAAAGCTCAGCTACTTGACGGCCATCTTCATCTTCGAGGTCGGAAGTCTCATCTGCGGGGTTGCGCCCAACTCGGTCGCCTTGATCATAGGCCGCGCCATAGCAGGTGTAGGAGCCGCAGGCGTTGGATGCGGTTCATACAGCATCATTACCTTCATCGCGGAGCCTAAGAAGCGAGCATCTTACACTGGACTTCTCGGTGCCATTTTTGGCGTGGGAAGTGTCCTGGGCCCCTTACTAGGTGGCATTTTCTCCAGCACGATCAGTTGGCGATGGTAAGTCTGACGCAATAGTCGAGCTTCTACGTATCAGGCCGCTGGGACTAACGCGGATATTAGGTGCTTCTATATCAACCTTCCGATAGGAGTTATTCCCGTCGCGATTATCGTCTTTCTGTTCAATGCGCCGGAGAACGCGAAACCTCAGGAGGCGCGCTTCACAGAAAAGCTGCTGCAGATGGATCCATTAGGCACTACACTCATGATGGCCATCATTATCTCGTATCTTACAGCTGTCAATTACGGCGGCCAGTCCTATCCGTGGTCCTCGTCTGTCGTCATTGGACTCTTGGTCGGCGTTGGCGTAATCAGCATTGCCTTCGGCCTATGCGAATGGTGGCAGGGCGAGCGAGCCATTATTATACCCCGCCTTTTCAAGCGACGCGAGATTGGCCTTTCGGCTATTTTCTCCATCCTCCAGGCCGGTGGCTTTTTCAGCATGATCTACTACCTTCCCATATACTTCCAGGCCATTCGAGGAAGTAGCCCTATCATTTCGGGCGTCCAAAATTTGCCTTACATCCTATCAGCCATGGCCGGCGCTCTTGGCGGAGGCATCTTCATCTCCGCAACCGGTCAATCTACCCTACTTATGATTGTTGGAAACGCATTTGGCATCCTTGGATGCGGCCTGTGCTACACGTTCGATATTCACACTTCCATCGGTAAATGGATTGGTTTCGAAATCATTGCAGGATTTGGTCTGGGAGCTTCACTCCAAATCCCTGTCATCGTCGGCCAAGTGAGTGTAGGGTCAGCAGACTTATCTTCGGCGACTGCTATTATGCTTTGCTTCCAGACTCTGGGCGGCGCATTTTGGGTTGCAGCCTCCCAGGCCGTCTTGGTCAATACACTACTACTCAGTCTGCCAAGCGCGGCACCTGGAGTAGATCCAAAGCTCGTACTAGCTACCGGCGCGGGACAACTGCGCGATGTCTTTACCAAAGCAGAGCTCTCCGGCATACTGCTTGCTTATCTTGAGGGGATAAGGGCTACTTTCATCTTATCCACGACTGTTGTAGCCGCTGCATTCGTTGTGGCCTTCTTCCTGCCATGGAGAAAGCTGGACCTTGAGGCTGTAAAGAACGCTGGGGCTGCTTGAGGACATAAAGTGAGCCGTAGGTACCGGATTGTGTTCTTCACATTGTATTTAGATTTCTAGTACATGCGTTTCAATTTCTGCATATGGTAGGCTAGCACATAGATCAAAGACTTTTGCTTCAAATTCCCATGTTGGGTCTTGGTCACTCAATGCAGCTCCCACGCCTGAATCTAGCCCTCCTCTTTGGGCTAGCTGATATTAAAGAGGGTGAGACATAGTCTTCGTGATAGGTATATTATTAAGGTAGAAAGATGGAGTATGTGTATACTCGCTGCTAACTCTGTTTATCCTGACAGCTCTATTTTCATTATTCCTGTTACCCTGCTACTCATCGCTATTTCGACGAAGGAAGCTCTACCTTGCTCGGCCCTCCCTGCTCTTTGATTTTCTGCTCCACCACATCCAAGCCAACCAAGCCCTTCATAGTCCCATCCAGCATTCCAACCGGCAAATGCGAAGCTAGTCGTACGATCGTAGAGAACTTGCCCTTCCACACCCAATACGGCGGGTTACGCTTGCTGAGCTCTTTCGCGACTTCATCGGCCCATTGCGTCGGGTCGCTCCCGTTGACGGCGTCCGCGCCTGACATGGTTCGTTCGACAGGCTCTTTTGCCACGTTGTACAATGATGTGGGTGGGAGCTTAGCGTCTGGGGCATTGCTGTGGAATGTTGACCTTACGCCACCCGTCATTAGGTTGATAACCTTGATATTGAAGGGTTCTAGCTCGAGGCGCAAAGTTTCTGTAAGACTAGCCGCGGCCGCCTTGGAAGCGTTGTATGCGCCCGAGAAGGGCGTTGAGCCAGCGGTCACTGAGGCGCAGGCAGTATTGTTCACGACTATGGCGCCGCGGGTCGACTTCATCAACAGTGGAAAGAAGGCGCGTGTTACGTTTATCAGGGACCAGACGTTGAGATCGAATAGCTGCCGCGCCTTCGCGATATCGACGTCTAGAAGTGGCATGTTGTACCCGGCGCCAGCATTGTTGAGTAGGCCGTCCAGGGAGCCGCCTGTGAGCTCCTTGACCTTGGCGACACAGCTAGCAATTGATTCGTCGGAAAGCGTATCCAGCTGCACCGTTTCAATGCCGGCTTCCTCACATTTCTTGAGTTTCTCAATGCTGCGAGCGGATGCGAAGACTCGCCATCCCGCTTTGTGAAATGCCTGGGCGAGGGCAGAGCCCAGACTCCCGTCTGAGCAGCCTGTGATCAAGATTGTGCGCGCAGAGGCCATGATGAGCAAGTATAGGAAGCTGTCAATAATGCAGAGCGAAGCAGTGAAAAACAAAACAAAACCCGCGAAGACAAAGAGGTCGATAATAATGCGAACTGATTCTTTTAGGCCTCGGGTCCGGAAGGCGAATTATTAGGTATATGTACTTTGAGTCCTGCACGTGTCACTAACACGCCGTATTCAGTTCAACTTTTCGCGAGCAAGCTAAGCCCCAATGAAACACTGTACAACAGGGCTGCAACGGAGACTAGTCAGCCGATGCTCGCTTATACTTATGTTTACCGTCCAGTGGCGACACCGATATAGTGGCGTAAGCCCCCTAAAAACGATCCGCTGTTTGTTTGTTTGTGGTTTTAATCGAATCCCTTCAGCTACCTAGAATTGCTATGTTGAGTCCGATTTGATTGGAAGCAATCTTGGGCTGTTGGGCTCCCACAGTCCGGGTCTTGGCAAGGGAGCGTATAAGGTAAGGGAACTAACTCAAGCGCGTCGTACGTCAGCCCCATACAAGCGCTTAGATTGTTGTTGATGCATATGTGATATATTAATTGAATCTTCATGGCCCACTGTTGCCATGTCCTGTTGCGCCTAGATAGTATGATTGTCAATGAATAGGACGAAGTTAGGTTGATACTCAATGAGACGTAGGCTCAATGAAGCCTTTGAGCCTGTGGATGCCTCCTTTGTCCCAGTTACCGTACATGCTACATTACAAGCTACACTATATATGTATAAAACAAAGCTTCTGCAAAATGCTTAATAATGGTCGTTGCTAACGAGCCGTGAAATGATGTTCTACGATTCCACACACACAGACATCCATTAAGTGATTCAAAGACACATGAATGCAGCGCTCATGAGTTGCAAAGATCAGAAAATATTCGGGCTCCAGAATTGTACATAGTAAGGGGCCACTGGCTCTCGTGTCGCTCTGATGGGATACTCGGGGGTACGGTTCTAGGCAGGACCTCTTAAATCAACGTCTGCGGCCAACATTTCATGTGAATACTAGAACATCCACCTACCCTGCCTGTGGAAGAATTCGGCGTTATAGATTGATAGCCAACGGTACGAACAAGTGATGTATCTATTGACCTAACCATATGTTTCGTATTATCCCATAGCCTCGGCTATCAGGTAACCGGAACTACTTTACTTACACGTGAATCAAAGGAACATCCGCTAGGCTCCCTTCGCTCGCCAACCTCACTATAATGAACCGCGTCTTGTACACATGTCAACTCATATAATCCGCACTTGCTAAGCTTTGGATCTTCGATACGGTAGTATTTGGATCTCTTGGCTAACTCAAGGCACATGTAGAACAAGTAAAGAGACCCATCTCTACGCAGGGAGTTTGTTATAAACACTCCAAGGTGTATCAGACAGTAGATTCCGGCAAATAAAGGTGGTTGCACTGTTAATGGGGAAAAGAGCTTAGTTCGGCCGTCCTGATCTTCCGCATATACATACGTATAAGAGATTGACTGTGACCCGCCGGCATTAGTGCTTCGGAGATCTAACACTGCATGAACACCTCTCTTTGCCCCAATCGCTGCCTATTGGAGAGCAGATAGAGACCTCGGGGTGCATAGTGGCCTCCGCGGCTTCCAGGTCAGGGGCTAATCAGTCAGGGGGTGATGCCTATTGGGTCTAGATATTGTAATATGCACTCTAGGTGGGAGGGAGATCAGGAAATTATCCATTACTACGCCTCATATGTGCATCGTGTGGTTATACATCAACGTATAAGATGATGTCAGGCTACCTGTTGCATTCACCGCCCCCAAGTCCTACAACGATTGCTAGTATGTTAATGAAATTCTAAACTTCTCCCAGTGCTATAGTTAGAAAAAGGTCTTGTTTTGTGTGAAGCTGGTCGTTGTAAACTGAGTCTCAGAGGACTATGTCCTCTGGGAGACTCCAATTAGCTGACTTACAAGTGTTTACTTGAAATCTCCTCATTTAATGTTTTATTTTGACATCCAACCCTTTCAAACAAGAAATCATCAATTTACCTTCGGTTAATAAGAGATAATAAGAGATTTTAGAAGCTCACATGTAAAGATCAGTTTTTTTTATGAAAATATCTTTGACTAATGAGAGCAGTTTCGGCATTGGATCTGCCTCTTTGGTTACGTAACGATTCACAGAACACGCTAATGCATTTTGGACCAATATTCTGTCTCCTATCTTAGTCTTCAAATCTATTTTGCATATATACACTTCAACTCAAACTGAAGGTGCTGCTCGATACAGTCACCTTGATCTACCTATAGCAATGAATGGAAGAATCGCGTCGAGTAAAGTGAGGACGCATCTTTAACTCAATCAATTTCGCCTGTTCAAATTTGTTGATAACCCTTAACTGTAAGGCCTGATCCGCAATTGTATGCCATAATTCAAGCCTTGTAACGACATTGTATTATTTAGCTTAGTACATTGGTAGATCTGCGCAGTGAAACTGCGAGTTTTGGTATGACTTGTGTCTCTGAGTTGTTATCTCGATTTCGAGCAGCCTGTTTCTTACACTGCCATGTTGACGATGGGGCCTACATCACTTCAATATGCCACAACTCCAATTTAAACGCTTCTATACTGATTCTATCATGTATATGCAACTTTAAGGGGGCGATAGTGCTTAGGCTGGATCCTAAGAACAAGACCAGAGCTATGGGAAGATCAAGGCCTCAATTAGATTGTTTAGAGAGAGAAGTAACGTCATCCTACCATGCCTACAGTTGGCATATATCTTGAGTCCAAAATAATACACTAATATAGGAGCTACTTAGTCGATATAATACCATGTTTAAGAAAGACACGGAGACATCTCGGAATTGCTTGGTCTTATTAGAGTTCGACGACTTTCCTGCCGGCGCACTGAACTCGGCGATATATACAATAGCCGCGACTAAAGTCTTACTCCTGCAGTACAAGTAAATTCTACATAAACTGACGCATGAGCCTCAAAGGTCTAGGAAACAGCTAACTACGAAATATATTTGCCAATATTGGGGAATTTGATGCGCAGTCCCTGGCCACTACCATCCCATCTATGATTCGACCCTTGTCACCACTCTACATACGGATCTCAATATAACCGAGTGAGACTTTTTAGCATCTGCAGCTTCTTTTCGCCCGACCATGCTACTGTTCGCCTCACCTCATTCTGAGGCAGTGCTTCCTACCCCGCACGGGATGGAATGAGAAAGCAATGATTTGTGACGCTTTTGCTTATTGCAGTTGCACCTATTGGTATAACGCTAGAGTACACGTCCCTGAATACCTCTTCATATTCGGTTCTTTTGATGGATTCAGCCTTGACTCATGACGATCTGGCCATTTCTATAACCATCATTCTATCCTTCGAATATAGACGCGTTGGGGGCGGGTGGCAAGGGTCAAGGTAGAATCAGCTCAAGGAAGTGCAATTTATGAACCGGACATGGTATCTGTCATTTTGGGACGAAGCAGGTAAACGTGTATACCAAGGGCGGCACTTGATGATATTCAGATTACAATGATCAACTAGGACTGCATGAGTCCTTGACCAACCAACTGGCTCCCTGTCGTTGGTGGCTCGACTCGACTCTATATACAACCGGTCTGCCAGCCCAGACCGCCTGGGTCTCTAGGGTCTGTTTCAAGAAACGAAGTCTGTATAACCTCACTTTCCAATATTGCCCAATATTGCCTGCATGTCTTTGAAAGATCATGAACAGCCTGCAAAGGTCCTTCGTACGGCCGAAGCGCAAGGCGAACTGCATATTCAGCTTAGTACAGAGGTTACACGTGTAACAAGTAGCGTTTGGGATATGTTCTCCTAATAGAGAATCATAAGTTACTCGACTGCTTCCGTTAAAAGTGTGTATGTGTGTATATCAGTGAGCCACTTCACGTTTACGGTACGGGCAAAGGGCCCGGAGGCCACGCAGGCCTATTCATGTATAATTATAAGATGATCTTTCCAGATCCCTCAGATCAGCCCCCATCCGGGATTCCATGACCAAACGCGCCCACCTGTGGGCCTGGAACCGATGACAATATTCCTTGAAAACTAACTTTAGATTGCTTGAGTTGATCAGGAGCTGTTTATGCAACTAGCCAGAAGCACCCAATAAGATAGGACTGGTGTCAACATCCAATCCTGTCATGGCGCCGTGATTAAGTAGACAAGATCGTTGTAAATGATTTACGTAATACTGCGCTGGAAGGATCATCTACGCTCTATAGGGGGAAATCTTGGCGAAACCGCCATTTTTTCGTTTAATTTATACACCTATCGGAAGCAAAATCTATCACGCTCCTGTTGTGATGATTCAGAATTGGACATGATGCTATTGGTGATATGCATCACGCCTAGTCTAGCAGCTTGCATTCGCGGAATTCATATATTATATAATATACTCTTAATTAACTCGCTTGCCTAATTCAACACGTACTCCTATTCAGACACATACCCCTATTTTAATAGCTACCCTATCAATGATGGGAAAAAATTAGGTACATTTCTGGCATACTCAGCTAGTAACGGAGAAGGGGAGAGTGCCGTCATTGAAAACCCTTATATAGTGAGGAAGGGAAAGGAGTTATTGAAGGCACCACTTTTGAGGCAGATACGCACCGGTTTCGATCAAGCATCTACCCCCCACAGCCGTATTACTCACCACTTTGCGTTATTTACCAGTTATTTGTTTTGCTTCTGTTTTGTATATGGTATTACTACTTAAGCGGTTCCCAGCTAGTTATTGCAGCCTTTAGGCTTTGTATTCGAGTAGCTATCTAGCAAGGCCTCTAACTGCGAGAACTAGCTGCGAATAGCCTCACTTCCGCCCAATATAAGCCATATAAACAATCTAGTGTGTGTGTGCCCTGGCTTAGATGTAAAACTAGACGGCAATGACAACTTACACTTCTCTTCTTGTTCTGTGACACCATCTTGGAAGTGCCCCTTCTTTGGGGTGATAATCACTTCATACAAATGCGCAGATAGATAGCTTGGCTTGGTTTGACGAGTGCACAATACCGAGTTATCAAATTTGACCAAGCACGATCAAGCGTCATTCCCCAGGCGCTGTGATCCTCACGGCTGGAGAGGGTCCGCGACATGATATGAACATATTAGGTATTCGACGACGACATGCTTGCTGATAGACAAAGAACCTACCGCTGCGCCCTGACGCTGGCGCGATGACACATAGAGAATTTGAAAAGATATCGGGTAGAAAGAGGTGGTGACGCTTTGACGCCCACCTCGACAAGGTCCGTAACAATTATTGAGAATCTTTCATGTCTAGTAGTTTGGAACGTCGAACCGGGTGGAGCTTCGTATTTCATAGATCATACATAATTCACGTCATCACTGTCGAAGTAAATCGCCTATTATATTGCACTAAACGCCCTGACAATTTGACACACCTTTAACTAAGATAGGGTCCTCCATGTGGTCCACCTTTCGCCTCATAATGCGCTTGTCTCTTGTTTCGGATCGCCTTGTATGTAAACCATGTCCCTATAGCCGTTGCAATGAAACCTAAGACACCGACAACGATACCGACGATCTCGCCTGTACCCAGTTCACCCCGGTTATCGTCTCCATTGTTTATAATTGTACCCGTAAATGTTGGGGTCTGACTCCCAAAGGAACTGGTGGGCGATTCTATATCTTTTCACTCAATTAGAAGTTGCTACTGATGAGGTGTCTTGGGGCTGGGTTAGGTGTTGTTGAGAAAACTGCCGGGGACGTGCACAGAACCAGCCCCTAACCATTCTGCGAAGCACAGCCAGCGTCATGGTTAGGGCCTGGTGAAGCAAGGCCACCGATCTCTGGGTGCATGCTACGGTCGCGATAATTGCAGGGTAGGAGTTCGGCATACCTGAAGAAGTTGATGTCGGTGTTACCTGTGCTATGCGCAGGTAGCCGGCGTTTGTACAGTAGGCGTCGTAGATAGAAACGGCGCTACTAGCGTCTACTTCGTTGCGCGAGCAGGAATTGCTCACGCAACTACTAAGCCAGGAGTCGGCGCTTTGTTGTATATCTGATCGGCACACGCATTCGTTTTGAGGTAGATGATATTCGCAGCCGATGTAATTAGCTAGCTTATCGGGCCCTTCGTAGGCACCATTTGTAAAACACTTCCGGGCGCAGGGCTTCTGGGCGGAATAGGCGGGGAGCTCTGTTATGCTGACTGACTCGGAGGCGGTCAGGCGTAGTAAGGCGAGAAAAACGAAGGATTTCGCCAACATTGTGACAGGGTTCGTGACGGCGTAGATATTTAGATTTGAACTTCTTGGACGAGATAGAGATTCAAGTACTATGCTCACGCTGCAAGGGCATCTCGTAGAATTAATACCTCTACGGTCGCTGTCATCAGCACGTTTTGTACGGAGACATGGCAATCAGCCACACCCTTGGCAGATGGGAGATATGCAGACTCTAGGCTCGTTCGTCGGACGAATACGTTGTATTCTAGCGTCCCCTAAAGGGCGATCTATCCTATTTTCCTTCGTTGAGACCTCGATCTGAGGTCGTAGCTGAAAATAAGGTTGGCTGGCTAGCCTGTCTACGCTGCCTACTTACAGCTTCATGGTTGGGCTGGGTTAGGCTAAATGTCTTGGAAGAGCCTGGAGGCTTGTCTAGACGATCTAGATAAGGTCGGCCAAGGAGAGCGAGGTTGATCCAGGTGGTGAACTAAAAGGCTTGGCTAAACATTGCGTCGGTACCGCCTCGCCGGTAAGTAGTATGTAGTTTTAGTGCTCGCCGAGACTTGAAGCTGAAATTTGGTGGCTCTTATGATCAACGATCCCGGCCCATAGTCGGTTAACATCTCTACATTGGTGCACTGGTCGCGCCTCCTCCTCACCTAGCCACTCACGTACCACATCCAAATCAGCAACAGCTATCGAGTGTGAGCCTATCATCAAATATGGTTGGACGCTTCAAGAACTACTATCATATCTTCATGGTTATATTCTGATACCCTCTTGTCATCAGCTATACTTTCTTTACGGCAGGGCTTGCCCAACCCAATCCGTGCCGAGGACTCATGCAAATTGAAACAATCCCTTTACGGGAAGTTTGACCTATGCAATACAGCAATCGCTGTAGGAGAGATCTAATTACTGTCGGTACTGCAACCGACTAGACCGTCTTAATAGGCTACCGATGTCTCCGACCATTTCCTCGAACATACAAATATCTGCTGTCAAGCGAGCGCTCCTTCTTGCATGAGACGTGTTTTGCCACAGACAATGGGGCTTGGTTTATGCAAGCCCAAAATCTGAATAGTAGGCGCCTTTGAAGTTCCGTGGATGAACGTCCTTGATTATGATTCCATTTCGATTCATCCATTTCATGCTCGTAACTATATGCTTCTGAGTCTTCTCGTCCAGATCTCCTCCCTCTTCAATATACTCCTTTAATGTGTGTCGCGGAGTAGTGGGTATGCCATATAAAGGCCGTTAATCTTGCACAAGATTAATGGCGTCGTTTTTTTCCGCGACAATGTGGCCCTGGCAGGGCTTCACTTTGCTGTTTTCTGACATTCATCATGATGGGTAATATCCGACCAGAGGTCTATACCATACTCCCTGAGAACATACTCACTTCCCTCTATCAATGAGAGCTATCCGTAGCAGTCTGCAATATCCTTCCTTTTCAAGCCTCGGCTGACCCTTCGGGCCTGGGTTTGAGTGTATGCGCGGCATTCCGCATAGGATGGATCCATGTGAAATCCCAGCTCAAGATCTGTCACATTCATTCCCCAAATTAGACTGAGCACAGGTCTACATGTCGATGGTTTAAAAAACTTAAACTAACAAATTGATTAATGATTCTTCCTGGAACATGGACGACTGCTCGCTCGCTTACAACTTTCAAGGTGTATATTTGCGATTCAATCTCAACCTTGATTACAACAGCCTGGGTAGGAAGCTATAAAAGGTACATGTATAGGGCTACTCGTCGATGTTTCCCAGCGACTCTACGCGGATATATCGTTCCCGAAGCTCTCTTTTAAGCCACGCACTCGGCTATGCCTCTGCCTTTCACGAAGTAAGGCTATTGTAGTCTCGTTTCACCTGCCGGTCCTCCAATGACATTCAAGATGACAAGGGCCGCATGGAAAAGGTGGAAAAAGACTAGGATATGAAATCGATGAATTATGTGCACACTTATTTGCCTCTTTACTGTGGTCTGTGTTTTATCTTCTCCGATCAGGCGCTGGACACGGGACCTTTTATACACGAAATCATCGTATCATCCCTCTCTTTTCTCCTTGGTATGTAAGTTGGCCAGCTAACAAGAATTACGATTGGATTTAGAGAGCTATACATACTAAAATAAGGGTATGCATAACTATATTATGCTATCTTGGATATAAGCTCCGGAAGCTTATATATAAAGGACTTATAATATAAATTTTTGATATATTACCTTAAAGGCTAAATAACTATTGGGCCTTGTACAATATAGAACTCCCATTGTTTGTTGCACTCTTTTCCTGAGTAGTTGTTGAGCTTGCGTAATCTTTCATTTCTTGTGACCGCTTTGTATCCAATTGTTTACATCGTCTTACCGCCGCAGAGTGTGGTGTTCCATTACGTAGGTGTCACAGGGAGCTTGAACCCAATGCAAATTGTCCGGGTGGTACCAACATCGTACAGATATATTGATCCCTGGCCCCTCTCTCCATATCCAAATATACTGGGTTAGGTTTCATACGCTCCGCTCATTATGTATCAGTAGCCCTAACTTGAACGAACTATTGGCCTTTGAGGTAAGACGACTCCTAGCAAGTTGCATATAAATTTAAATAATGTCACGAGGCTATAATGGAGGCTTGCAGACCTCAAAGAAACCCTTTCTGTTTATGGTTACAGCTTCGCGCGCGGCGCGGGAGGAAGACCCCTTGCGCAACGGTAGAAGTCACCTGCCTGCCACATACTGCCTCCCTGACAAACACTATTAGAGCACAAGTATGTAAGGTCGTACATGGGGGTCGTGCGCGCCGTCCTGTTGATAGCATATAAGTACAAAACACCCCTCTCTGTTCATGACATAGTCCTTCACCTCCATAAATCCCACGCTATTAACAAGCATTGAGGAAACCATCCGATATCATTCTACATCACAATACAACAAACTCATATCCGTCATCATGCCTAGCGAAACCTGGACCTGCCCTGGAGGCTGCGGTAGTGTTCTTTCGGGCAGCCAACCTGCAAGTGACTGCGTCGTCTGCGCCTCGTATGCTTTTCAGCTGAAATAGTCGTGAAATGGATATTGACAGTTACTATAGGAACAAATCCAAGTGAGCATGGGCTACCAGCATCAACTTTGATTGCACGGACAAGCACCCCAGCGGCTCTTCGGCAGACTTAGCACACAAACCCGAGTCGGAAGATAAACCTTTAGATGGACTTTGATGGAGATTATGTGATGGTTTACCAAGGCTCTGAATTGTGTGAGCGGAAATGAGAAGAAATCTATTGTTTTATATATACTGTCGCTCGTTTGGGATATTCAATTATGGGAATACCTGGGTTATATACAACGAGTTTCTTTGTTGCAGCCCTAAGATCGGGACAGTTTGTTACCTCAATATGGTTCCTGCGTATCTAGTCGCTCTTCCATCCAATGATCACCAGATACATATTCCCATTGCCGTGAAATCTGACTGTTGACATGTCACTCTATATTCAACCCAAAAAGTAATGGTATAAGAGTTGTGATAACATGCATTTCATAGAGTCGAGTATGCTTCACTCTCTGGTTTCGAGACCACCCAACTTGCGAACAAGATTGTGACCCCTTAGAGCTTTTTACTTTTATGCCAACACCTTAAAATACGCTCAACTGGGGATTATATCCATGAACTACTTGTTTTTCAATGACCAACAAGTTGGAATTTCGCTCCAACACTCAACGAAACAGTTGCTCGAGGGGGGGGGGGGCAACTGGTTAGATAAGAGACAAAAAGATGCGGTGAGTGTGGATCGAACACACGACCTTCAGATTATCATGGATACACCAAGATGTGGAATGAAGTTTTGACTTCAGTCTGACGCTCTCCCAACTGAGCTATCCCCGCTTGATGAAAATTCATGACGCATATTTCATGTTAGATTCGAGCTGTTAGTCTCCACACTCTCCACACGCGGAACCACCCATGCGTAGTATGTCCCTAGACAGACTACATACATAGTACAATATTAGCCACCTCACTAGCTAGGGTTGTTACAATCATCAAAAGCCTTGGACCCAGCTTTTAGATTTGTTACCTGAGACCGTGGTCAAGTTGTTATAGAATCTTCGATAAATCGGTTCACAATATCCTCAAGGCCGACTATGAGCTCTTCGACGACTATTCCGAAGTGACTAGGACAAAGGGGCCAATTAACAGCTTAAGCCCAATAGGGAAAACTTGGAGAACGCGATCAGTCATTGCGAACGACTTACAAGATGGACACTTGGGATGACATTGGATAGTATGTAGTCTGCGTCTAGCAAGATCGAAATGAATGAAAGAGTTGTGTGTTGGAAATCAGGTGTTACACAATGCCGACAGTAGCTCGGCCAAGAGTTACAAGGGAGCAGGTAACTCAAGTCATTCTCAGGGCAGTAGAGAGGTCATAACATGATCAGCCGTGTCGACATTGATTAGAAGATCGTCAAAGTTGAGAATTATTGCCTTCAAGGGTTAAGGAATGAGCCTTGATGTGGAAAGTAAAGAAGTTTCATGGATTACAGATCGAATGGTATTTACGTAGATTGCACGTCAGTCCCATTCAGGGCACATGTGGAGTTCAATGGCTCGGAATATCCTATTCATTCAAGGTCAATGCGTTATGTTTGCTACACTCTCATTGTTTCACGGTATCATATCATGAATGTAGACACGCAGGGTTTTGACCTGATCTATTGTTTCTATCTTTTGTTGATAGCGTGGCGATTTAGTACTACACTCCTATTCTGTTCCGTAACACATTGAACAATGGTGGCTTTGGGCTGAATGGTTGCTATTTGAAGAGCTATTGAGAGGCTATTCAGGGTGGTATTGTAAGTGCATTGTGAGCGCTATTGAGAGGGCTAGCTTCGGCTGAAATGTGTGAGTCTCTATATACTAGGTAGTCAAGCAGTTTAGTATAAGTAGGCCCTTGGAAGCAGTAAATTTCTTTTGCGCATCCCGGCTTCTCTATATTGGAAGAATACTTTTCTACACAAGATATCTCAATTACAGAAACTTTACGAGCCTGAAGGAACCTTAGCACTGTCTAAGCCGGCCCTTCTGAACTACACCATCACCTTAGTGCTATCAATACATGCCCACCATTGCTAGCATATCATCCAGTACGATTCGACATGCCTCTATTTCATCTCCCGGTCGAGATAGTCGAGCTTGTATTCGACGAAATCGTCATCTCGCACAACTTTGTGCGTGTAATGCGAACCCGCCTTGTCAACAGTATGTGTGAACTCAAGTCTGAGGAACCCCTGACTTACATGCTTACGTTTCTCTCAGGCCAATTCAAACGCTTCATTGATAGTTCTATCTTCCGTCTCGGTATCCTATGTGATCAGCTCAACACCAATGACTACTCATTGCAGCTGGGGATGTGTTCGCCACGAGAGTCGCTTCCCTATATTCACTCTTATGTGATGTATCGGGTTTTAAGAGAGCAACCCACAGCAGCAACCTGCCTCGGCCGTATCAGGCATGCTGGACAAGTTCTGGGTGGATCAGATGACGACTTAGAATGTCTCAGCTCTCTCGTTAGCCTTGCCCTCGCGTGCAATAAGCGGGCAACGGTAGTCAATGCGTACAGCGCGTTGGGCGACACAGGGGTGGACGTCTTCGTTGCTGCTGCCTATCTCGGACGGAAGGATTATGTTTCTTCAAAACTAATCACGAAGAATATTGCATCCGGCGGTCGTTTCAGTTTAAAATCGATTCATAGCAAAGTCTTCGGCTCTCCACTGAGAGCTGCTACAGTACAGGGAAATCTTGAAATGATCAAACTACTCCTCTCGCATGATTCCCCAGGCAATATTCTAGGCACCAATTCCGCGTCTTTGCTTCACGGAAACAGCAGCCATAAAGAGCGAGGGAATACTTGTGATCACGAACCCGTGTTCAATTTCATTTTCGACATGATGCTAAGATCCCGGGCCCATTTCGGAGACCGCCCGCCATTTGTTTGGGCTCTTGGCGACGCATTATCCCACGCCGCGACCCCAAAAAGCTTTGAGCGAGCTCTTGCTCTATTACCGCCGTCTCTTGGCTCTTCTACCGAGAAGCTGCAAGCGGCGCTCTTGAGAAGCGTGAAAAATGGAAAGATCATGATGGTGGGCCATTTGCTCAATAAGGGTGTCTCGCCGAACCTTGATGATACGTACCCAACACCACTCATGGAGGCTATCAGGAATGGCGATGACCTAATTTTCAAGATGCTCTTGGATTTTGGCGCAGATCCCGCTCCTCAAACGATGCTCTTGAATCGTGGCCCAGGCTCCGCTCAGCAAATGAACAGTCCGTTGATGACAGCTGTATGGCTGGGTCGGCTGGCTATGGCCAAAACCCTACTTGATCGCGGTGTGGACCCCAATGACGGTTATCCGGCCCCAATCGTTTTGGCGCTATACAAAGAACGTCTAGACATATTCCGACTTTTAAAGGATCATGGTGCTAGGCTTGACAAACTCGAGACAGGCACCTTTGCCATGCTGATAGCCGAGCGCCACGGCCTGTCGTCGATGCAAGATGTCTTGTTCCGTGAGGGCGTGAGTTCAGAACATGACGTATCGTTGGAAGATATCTTGTTGCATAAGGGGTTAAACCCAGAGTATGACCTCTCGATGCAAGAGGCCTCGTTTTATGATAACTTATTGTAAGGCCATATCTCATTTAAGGCCTATTGATGTAGATACCTTTTGGCCAAGGTGCTTAGCTAGATGTTAGATAAGGCTGTGTAAGCCTATGCAATCAGAACTTAATTTAAATGTTCTTCATCTGTTTCCTTCCGTTTGTTTCTCCTCATCCATATCCCACTCTCACTCTAGAAACCGAGACCCTTCACAAGTATCCTATCACTATTTCTTTTGCTTATCCAGCCTTAAACTTGCTGAGCACTTATTTACGTCAACCTTCAGCCTACACAAGTCAACATGATTGACCTCGCCACCAGGATTGTTCTTGGTATCGCCCTGGTGGGCTTCGTAGATATTGTAATCTTATGTATTGTCGTGAAACCGGCAGTAGAGCACCGCACCCAGCTCGTATCAAGCGCTCGCCGATTACAATCAACCCTCAAGATCCCGCCCTGTCTTGCCATGGTTAGCGAAACGGACCCGGGAATTACGAAACAAGCTTTACAAGAAGTTGTTGAGCGAGCTGTCACTTCAGTATTAATCTGCATTATATTTTTGTTGTCCTTGCTGTCTTGGGAGTGTCCAAGAGTGTCTGGGGCATAGTTCTCGAAACCGTCGGTCCAGTCTGTATCTTCTTACTTTTTTGGTCATGGTGTATATTCGCAAGGCGACGATTCGACCGGGGAGAGAGAGACCCTGGTGTGGAAAACAGAGAGGAACCTACGGAGCAACAACAAGTCTAACTGCGTGATCGCATCACCAGAATCGCGCAGTTTAAAAGCATCTGGGCAGCTCTAGGCTTGCTTGGCTTAGGTAAGTAATGCAATTCTGATAATTACTACCCACAGTGCTACTTTAGACTAACTCTTTCCCATCCAGAACCAGTTTTCTCGCCCATGTCGCACTGATACTCGTTGGTTATATAATATACGTTGTCGATGGCAAGACTCTATGTGCCAAGCAACCGACCCATGCCACCAACAAAACCACACTCTCGCAGACGGAAAATGTCTCTACCTAGTTAACAGGATCCTCGTGAGTCGGTATAGAGGGATATCTATAATATGGCGGTGAAGGCCAGGATCTTGGAGCCATTGTTTTCTGGAAAATATGCACGCTGTCCTTGGCATTGGGTTGGTTGTGTGACGATGGCAATATTCAAATCTGTGTTAGAAAGGTGGCGAAGGCCACGGTAGTCGCGGGCTATGATCGTCTTCGACTAATATAACAGTATAGAAGCCAGTCATGCCAATCAAGTGCAATTGATACGATACTTGTAGATTAAAACAGCAAATATCTGGCTCGGCTTATGATGACTTGCTCGTCTCGAAAGCGAGAAACTTGTACGCTGCCGCCATGCCCGTCAACGCCAGCACGTTAACTCTGGGTATGATGAAAAAGAAATTTCACGCTTATTTCAAGTCTCAGCATCAATTCTCTCCGCGCACCGCAGAATTCACCCTTTGTAGCCTTTTGATTATGACTGAGTGAGGAGAAGTGTCGGGAGAAGCACTTAGGTAGGTCCTGACTTGAGTCGGGATAGTGGGAATACTCACCTAGCCTCAGGGTGGTGTAGCACTAACCTCCCGCTGTATGCGCTGTATCCAGGTATCTAAATGCCCTTACAAGCAGGCAGGTCCGGGGAGTGGGTAGGCCCCTACTAAGTATCAGCATAGTGGGTAGGTCACTAACTGCTTGGCGGACTGCCCGCCCTGTACGAAACTTTTCTACTCTTCACCATTCTACGGCCCCTATTAGCAGATAATGCTTCACGATAGCGAAGTAAACATACTCCTATTTTCGTCTTTTTCATCTTGAAGATGGCTGCGGGTGCCTCACCACCTCATGGAATTCCCTTAGCTGATGGTGAGCAAGAGAAGCCGAATGACTGCTGCCTCATCGCTGTACGTGCGAGAGTTGTTTCTAGTGGTGAGGGTCCGAACGCGGATTGCAAAGTCCGGCTTTGAGCAGTGAGGCTGATTAGCACCTTGCAGTTGGCAGGGAGAGCTGGAAGATGACGAAGATGTAATACAGGAACCCATGGTCACCTTGGATTGTTGACTACCTAGGTAAGTATGTTATACCTAGACTTTACGTGACATCTCCCTTCCCAACGGGCCTTCGTGGTGTTCATGTGGTTTTCCTGTAAACTTCAAACTTTACCAGAGCTTCGGATATATGCCCGTCATGATCCAGGTCATGGATATGCTGCCATCTCGCCGTCAGCGCCTCATTCAGCCTTTCCGGATCAAGCCCGGCCGCCGGATACCTGCCGCAGAAAATGGTACCCGTCTCCCGACTGGAGTCGATGACTTTCTGACATCGTGGTAGCCGCACGTCGCTGAATGCTCGGAAAGCTGCCTCAACCTCGTTCGCTGACCGGACGTGGGCCAGGAGCGCGGCAAGCACCATGGCGTCTTCTATGGCCAGCCCGGCACCGGAGCCCTGCCAGGGTGTAGTCGAGTGCGCTGCGTCACCGACGATGCAAACCCGACCAGAGGCATACGTGGGAGTTGCTTTATGCTCCCACTCCGAGTAGGCTTTCGGAGAAGGCTGGTCGAGGAGCAGCTGCATAATTGGCAGGGATGACTATCAGCATTCTTCCCTGAACGTGATCACATACAAGGTATCGATCTTGCCAACTTGGGATGGCTTGATGCTAGAACTGAAGAACATACCTCAATCATCCCCTGGGTATGCGCTCGATTCAGGGAACTTTCTAATGTCGTTTCTAGAAGCTCTCTTGTCAAGGGCCGCGATCGATCTTGCGGAGGATCACTCTCCACAGCACAGATGACGCATTGCACCGTATTCCCATTCTCACAGACGTCATGTGCCGTGACTGCGCCGTCGTTGACCCATACGTACTGACGGTGCATCTCGAAATATTCTTCCCCCAAGGTTGCCTTGGCCCTCTCGAACGGAACTAGATTCCTGCAATCCCAGAATCCTGCCGCTGACGCCCTCCAATCATTCTGGCTATCTTGCAATTCGCGGACGACGTGATCACGCACAGCGCTGAATATGCCGTCGGCGCCCACGACTGCATCACAGGTCATGCTAGTCTCGTCAGTGAATCTTACTTCCAATTTTCCATCCTTCTCAGATATGCTGGCGAGCTTTTTGTTGGCGTGGAGGCATTCCTCGGGGAGGGGACGGAGGAGCTCTCTGAGAAGCGAGGCGCGGTGAAACACGAGACCTTGTTTGGTGCCTGTGTGGTCCCGGGCGAGTTGATTCATGTATTCGCCTGCGCCCTGACACGGTATGCATCAGCATTCTAACGGCTCCCTGAAGGTATTCAGGTGCTCCTGGCGTGCTGCTTCCCTCTGGAAGGAGAATCGAGCATAGGTGATGACTTACAACCATTACTCGCGTTGAATTCATAGGGACCCCTCCGGCATTCTCCAGCAACTCGCCTGCCTGGGGAAGAATGTGGTGCAAGGCATTCTGCGCATTGACAGCCAGCCCTACCGCTGCACCGCGCGCGGAGAACTGGGGTGCGGACTCGTAAACATGGACTTTGATGTGGTCGTGTTGAGCAAGTGCATTGGCTAAGGTCACTCCCGCGAGTCCTCCGCCAATGATGGCAAGCTTGATGGATGAGCTACTAGGCCCTTCTGGCATATTCAATAAACCGGTTGGCACGGTTGGGGGAGGTTACATAGAGTAGGCGATGCAAACTCCAATACTCGGGTCCGGGAGACTCCTCTCCTTAAATAAGCCGCGTCTTCGCTTTTGGGCACAGCCAAGCAATTGGGGGAGGACGAATGTGGCTGGCGACGCCCACCGGGGGCGGTACAGGGGACTTGGATTGGAAAAGTTGCTTACAAACTTAAAGGTAATTAGTTCGGAAGGAGATATATAGGTAGTCATACAGCGAAGAAGCACAAATCACTGAATCTATACGACTTTTTTATGACGAAATTAGGTACGTGTAGACACTCATAGCGGCTGTCAGCGATTTGGGGGAACGTGATGTGGGCCAAATGCCTTATTTCTGTTCATATCCAAGTGTGAACTACCACGGAGCTATACAATTGACGTAGATCATTTTCAAGTCTACTGGTGACGGTGACACCCATTCTCTCACAGGAACGACAAAGAGTACCAGACAGTAGAAGAATAGCTAAACTAAAATGTCCCTTGTCCCGCCCGAATCATTTTACCTTACGCTTTAGCCGCTTTCTGCTACGAAATCTCTCGGAAGCTTTTCCGATCTAGTTATATTCGCGTCGTAACTTCTTGTCACTCGAACCTGAGGGGGAGGAGCGATGTTGGCGCTCCGGGCGGGCATCGGATCATGACTAACCTGTCTCCGTATATGATGGGAGAAGCTCGCGCGGAAAGATCCGCTCCTCGCTTTCCCAGATTCCACATCGGAAATGGCAGGATGCTCATCATTCTGTGTGTATGACGATCCCCAGTGTCTGGTGCGTAGCAGGCTTCTGGCCGTGGTAGTAGCCCTCTCCCATGAGATGTCCTTGAGGAGAAAACTCAGGCTGGGTAGACATGCGACGATGACGCCGATACCAAGTTCTATCAGACCCCAGTAAATCACCACCGTGACTCCGACTGGCTATTATCAGCAGTAGAAGGAGCGGGGAAAATATGGCAACATACGAATTTCATCATTAGAGGGTGTGAATCCTATGAAGACTGTGTTTGAGACGATAATCAAGCGAGTCAGAGAGGCAGCGATAGACCTATAAGATGAACCACCACGAATCAGCTCTATACCATATCGAAAGGGGCACGGGATGCTTGTCTTACACTACTCCCAGGAGGAACACCGCCGATATAGCAATCTTCCTGCCTGTGGTGAGGTTCAAGCGCCAGATCTGCATGTGTGTCAATCCAATGCTAGTTATTCGGATGCGGAAGGAGAATGAGGACCAAACTCACTATTGGAACCGGGATGAGAATGATTACTATATCAGCGAAGAAGTCGGTATAGCACAGGGATATGAGCCTGTGCAGCGTATTGGTGCAGATAGTATACAAGTTTTGAGTTGGGCCCCATATGGCGTTAATATGCGTACCACATGCGAAGAGCACCGCAAAGAAAAATGCTATAGCCCATAGTATGATGAGGGTGATTAAGGCCTTGATCAACACAGTCCGCTTGTTCCACTTTTCCACTGAGAACACTCTTAGGTAGAAGAAGAGGAGGCTGGCCTTCGTGCATCCGAGGGCCAAGGGGAACATCAGGTTGAAAGCCCACTCAACCTATATGTGTTGTCAGATCTTGGAGTGTTCAGCGGCAGCGTATATCTCACCTGGCCTGACAGCTCTAGCTGGCGTGTGTGTATCGTATAGGGACTACCAGTGTAGTCCTTGGGGAGTTTGAGCGGATAAGCTACAGCCCCTTGTGACACACCATAGAGAATCGCAATAGCGATTCCAACCGAAAGTAACTGTGGTGAAGGTGAGCTTAGTCAAGTGTTCGAGGTGGTTATCTGCTTACCAGAGCGGGTATCATAAGCCAATCGTCCGCTTTCAGCGGCTGGCTCTGCTTTCTCCGCACCCAGAACCGTAAGCTGACAGCGATTATGTCTGCCACTGACAGAACTACCGCCGCAGCGATGTTGTGGCCCGGTGTCTCGTAGTAGTGCATCTTAGACCAAATATCCTATGATTATTGGCGTCGCAAACAGCAGATTCTCAGTCGCTTTGGACAGCACATAGAGTCCAACCTGCGACATAACCTGTTAAAAGTAGGAAGAAGAGAGGGAGATGGGAAGATGATGAGACCTACGGGAACGGATTGGCGTTCTGGCAAGGCTTCATCATGGTGTTTGGGGTAGCTGCACACGTAGAAGAAGGTGTGATGCGATTGGCGAATCTCTGCAGGTGGCATGGTGCTGCCGGTGCTTCGAAGGATCATTGCATACTACCCTGTTCTCCTATCAAGATTATCGACTCCAGATGTGATCAGTGTCGCTTCTTTCTGACACATCAGCTTCTCCTCGTCTGGAAGACACGACTCCATATGTAACTGTAAATCATGTTGTTAAGATCCTTCTTGAGGATGCTGCTCTGGCCCCTGTGATAGGAGGCCGGCAAATATAGGACGGCATAAAGTAGTATAATCCTTCTCGGGGATGCAGCCGTAACTCTTTCTATATAAGGCTGGCGACACATATAGTATGGCATAAGGTAATATAATCCTTTTCGAGGATTTCGCTGTAACCCCTCTCATAGGAAGCTGGCCACACGTACAGCATGGCACAAAGTAGGTAGCATGTCTGCTACGCTGCCTCCACAGGACATTATGATCGACGGGACGCTATCAACTATAATATAGTTCAAGCGATTCGTAGTTGATATGCATATTACTATAAAACGTAGTACACGGATGGGTTTAACTCAGACCGTTATGAAGACTAAACTAAGCCGAGGCGGGGATCTAGGTATATAAATTATATTCTAAGATTAGAACAATCTGCCTCGAGGGCTTTGGGGTCATTGTGTCAAAATGATTGGTCAATTTGAACCTGATATCATGCCAGGATACCAAGATGAGCGGAGTACAGGTAGGCACCCAGCTTCACCAACTTTCGATTTCACTATTAAGGAGTGTAACCCAGACAATAATATGACCTCCAATTCCGTTCAACGCGGTCTCTGGTCATTGAGTCATCATTTATTCCCCCATTGAAGATCAAGAGACGGATACACTACAGCCTACAACTCAGAGTCGTATTCACTAATAGGGCAAAGCACTCGTGTCCCCTCAGAGAGCTCTTGCTTCATCCTCTACAGCGCCCTGAGCCCAAGGCTTGTCCGCCTGATTCACGTTGCGATCTACGGTCGCATGCTATGTCAGCGGAATGAGAGAATTATCTGGTTCAAGAGATCAAATACGTACCTTCGAGGACGGGAGCGGCGGTTGCCAAGCTCAGCAGGAGTGCAATAATGCAAATCGATAGCTTCTGGACGTACATATCGACAGTTGATGAGGTGAAAAAGGGATCCGATTATGACTCGATTCTCGGTGTTGACTTTGGAGCTGTATGAAGGGATTGTTTGGAATTCTTGAGATCGGGGTTTGAGGGTGAGCCCGTGCCTTTTGTACTGGCCTAAGCATAGGTTAATGCTACCGTCGTTTCCCGACAAGAGTGGGCACGCACCCGACGATCGCAGATAAACTCGTGTATCACAAATTATTCGAACATTGCCACATCGATGATGCCGAACTTGGAGCAGGTGACATTGGACGCACACAGCCTGGTCCCGATATATCATCTCTTGTATTACCCCAGGAGAGAGACTCATTCCAATGAAATAGGTCGCTGACGAGTAAAATTTGGTTCTTAATCCCAGCACATGGCCCAGCCTATTTTTCCCATCTACGTCTCCATGGACAACTCTAGATACGTCCAACCCTTCTCACTTGTCATTCTATACTGCTGAATAACAACCTGCTTGAACCTACCAAGTTTGCTTTCAATATGTTATCCCAAGACGGCGACTCGAAAAAAGGTGAAGAACATCTGCCGTTTATAGGGGCGCACGATGAACTTCAACTGCCACGGCACGGCCAGAGACGTTTTATCCCAAACACCACAGCCTGGGCACGAGTATACATCGCCGTTCTTCACGTGCTGATTGCCACTCTTCTATGGGCTCTCTACCGGCAGGCAAGCATCCCAACTCACTACCCAAAGCCTGAGATTGGGCGTACCTGGTGTAGGTATTTCCCTTCGGTTAACATTAGATACCATAAGGGCTGACAACATGGCTTAGCTCCTGCTCATCATCTCATCGAATACGAGCTCAATGACGAGCACACCAATAATCATACACACTACACCAAGTATTCGGGTCCTCCTTCCGACGATCAAGACAAGGCTTGGGATGAATTAATCAGACGTATGTACTTATTCGTCCCGATGTTGTTGAGTGCCACTGACGCAATAGTAGCTATCTTCTTCAACGTAAGCCTCGAAGAGGTAGTGAAAGCTGAGGAGAGCGTGCCGGATGAGCTTACAGAGCTTGAAGACGGAGGCTACCTGGCCATTCTAGGGGTCTACCATGAGCTTCACTGTCTGGTGAGTATGATATCTAACCCGCGTTCTCCCAGTTGCTGACTCCCTCTAGCGGCAACTACGATTCTGGCTGTACAGGGACAGATACTATCCCAACGTCACTGAGAAAGGGAGCGAATATATACACAACCACCTGGGTAAGTAACATCATGAGCCCGGACGTCAAAGAAGACAACTCATTTTCAGGGGCTAATAAACTAAAGATCACTGTCTGGAGACTCTACGGTTGACCATTCAGTGCCACGCCAATACAGCTCTCTATACATTTCACTGGGCAGATCCGGCAGACATCCAGCCCAGCACCAAGTCGAATTCACGGTCAGTCTGCGCGAAGTGGGAGCCAATTGAAGCTTGGGCCTACTCGAGGCGGGTAGCTATATCTCCGGTATACACGGAAAAGCACCCTATGATCTAATTAGCCGGGAGGGTCTCCGTGGTAGTTAGGGTAGTCTGAGTCAAAGTCTGGAGTTCCGCTGTTTAAGTGTGAAAATTGGAAATGGACATTTCAAGGCACCTAATTGATGCTCATGGAGGTCTCCTAGTTCATTTTCCCGACGCACATTGCACTATCAAGACGCACCGTAACGAAAAGCCCGCAATACACGCGAATGGGCGTTCCATACCAGTCCGTCAGTGGTTCCGGGTGGTTGGGGGCGGAATCACATGCCTGATCCCACTCACGGCTCTATTATGTACCTACATAGTTACATTTCAAACTGGAACCAAGTATTGTCAAATTCTGATTGATCGGCATTCATTGCGAGTCTCACCGAGATCCTTCGGTGTAGAGTTTCATTGAGATCCTTGAGCATAGAGGCGCCGCGGCAACATCCCGTCTAGTAGGTATCGGTCTTGTCCGGTGCCGCTGTCCTCTCAATTTGATTCACGTTGCTAGATACGTACGTCTCATCGATGGAATGCACCATAATTCTCGCCACTGACATGAGCGCCGCTTGAACAGTTGCTAACCTTTACAGAATAGAGTGAGATCTGTCGAGGACCTCTGCGAAAAGTCAGACAGCCTAGTCTCATGGGTGCGACGTCAATATACGCGACGCAACATTGAAGGATTCGAAGGATTTGAAGGATTTGAAGGATTTACCTGGAGCTTATTATATGGGTTTGGGGGCTGGGGTAACATGCCCTGCCTGGAAGGATCTCTCATTGCCGTTGTGATGCCCAGGTCAGCCAATGGGCAGGCCTTAACAATGTCTCCAATGCACCGGTATAGATGCAGGACACTGCCGTCATTCCTTCATGCGGGTAGCAGAAGCTCTACAAGATCTAAGTTATAGTTGGGGTACCGAAGCCTGATGATTGGATATGCTATGGCCGATATTACGGATAATATGGGTGTGAAGAGGCAATGACGGACCCGGCCTACAGCTCACTTCGAGTTGTCTCTACGAAAGTATGTGGCAGATTGTAACTATACGTATATACTTATTCCATTCTCTCAAGACACAGGAATAGTCCTACCGTAATCAGGCCTATGAAATCAATAAACTACTTTTCGAATATGGGGAGGAATTGCTAATACACTCATTCCCTTGTCGAGTATGCAAATGATCCCATGCCGCATCCCCGACTCTACCGAGGGGAGGAAGCGATCTTTCCATAATAAAGATCGCCCCCACGACCCATCCTAGGCGCTCTGCTAGGTAAACTTGTAAGTCCCGTTTACAGTCCCCTCAGAGTCGAGATTAACATTGCTGAGAACATCAACAGTGTCAAGAATGTACGTGCGCGATTGATGTCAGCCCCTGAATAGTAACGTAGTTGTGTTGACCCAGGTGCCGCCGCTCTGTTTGTTTCGAGCGCCAATCTCATTAGTTTCATTATTCGTAGTAGATAATTACCATAGACTTGTTGGTATGGGGGCTTTTGTCGGCTTCTTGTTTAAGATACACCTATAACGGCCGGGCAATTCCAGTTCTATAGTGATGTCCACGGAATACACGAAAGTAGTTCAACACTATCGATCGTCTCAAGGAATGGTTCTAGGTAAATATAATGTCGCACTTGTCATGACGGAGTAGATCGTCTTTTTGGAAGTAGAGACACGACGGAGTTACAGCGATTTCGGGCTTAAAGTTGGGCGAATCGTTATACAATGCGATAAGGACAATAGTAGCAACATGTTGTACCACCTGGTTCAACCATATGATGAAGGATGACTTTTCAAGACGCGAGAGATCAAAGGCGTCAATGAGAAGTTGTTGCGACAACAATGCTTCAATTATGGCAGCTTTCATCGTCTTATAGAGAAAGTAAGGCCCTACTGAAGTCACTTAGATAACCAAAACATATGTAAAATATCCTTCTAAAACAGTCCTCAAGTATGAGACCAACGGCTGCCTGACTAGGAGCTTAACGAAGCTATAATGACGGTATGTCTCGACTAACTACTGTGCAGGACCCGATAGAGAACCTCCTGAGCCAATATTGCTACGATGCCATAGAAAATCGGTTCGTCGAATAGTGCCTGTAGAAGTGGTCACGTATTCCATTCCAGAGACAACAGACTCATTGTCATCAAGAAAGGGAATTCTAAGACTATACCTATTTGTTGAATCAGGCTACTGTGGCCAATCCGCAGCCACGGCGCATCAAGATAGCAGCACTACCACCAATTGTTGGATAGGCGCGAAGGTTACGACTACTTACGGGGGCCACTAGAGTTCTCCGTCATGCTGCTACTATTCTTGGCCCATCTTTCCGATGACCAAGTCTTTGCTCCGGACTTGTATCAAGCAGTTATAAACTCTCTCAGCTCACCTTCTACCTATACCACATGTTACACAACTTACGGCTTCATTACCAGCAGCGCATCCAGCCCCCCAATCCCATCAATAGCCTTCAATGGTCAATGGTGCGACCCAGTTATGGGCTGGTACAATCTAGATAACGAGTACCACGTATACAATTCTCTCCTGAAAGGGTTTCACATGCCTGATGCATGGAGCTTGTTCATGTTGGGCAATCTCAACCCATACACATGCTGTAACAGTGACCCTACCAATCATATCGATCCCAGTGGCAATTTCAGCATCTTCGAACATAAAACCGGGCATAGAGGTTGTCATTATTGGCATGGGCATTGGCGTCCGTAACGCTGTCCGAATTCTGCAGGCCTGTGCGTGATTTGTCGTCGTTGTCGAGGCGACCATTGTTGTTGGCACGACCTCTGATATCGTTGCGGGCGCGGTCTACGACTAGGCGAGTGGCGAATCGCCGACCTAGGAAATTGTTAAGGGAATGTTGCTCAGAGTGACTTGGCAGAGGTATGGCCAGAGGCTTCAGCACTGTTTACGGTACTATAGTTGATTGTAGAGACGCAGGGCTTCGACCTGATTACCGTCGTTTACCTTTTGGTAGTGCAACGGTTATAGAACTACACTCCTATTCCTCGTTCCGTGACAAGCACCTCCACCCGATGTGTTAGCGAGGCTGTCGGCTGGACAGGTTATTGCTCTCCGTCGGCGGAGCTACGCTCGTCGATGCGCATGTGAAACTTTTACGCCCAGCCCTGCCGCAGGCCCCCGGAGGCTCTTCCCATCCTCTTTGACAACAAGCTCAGCCGACCGGGAGATATTGGGCTGCTCGGGGGTATATCCAACCTACTCTTCAATGAATGCAAGAAATGCTCGCCCTGGAAACAAGAATAGAGCCCGTCTTCACGCTGATGGTGTGACGCGGCTACAATTTGAGCGCAAGGTTTGCTCTATTGCAAGTTCTTGAGCAGCACATCAGCCGTTTCAGGTGTACCTTGACGCGCGCAGAGGGAAATACGTGGGACGGCCCGTTTCGTGGAGTGAAGAGCCCAGGCAAAATTGATTTGGTGTTTGTAGGGGCAGACAACCGGGTTTTAGATTGTATCACACATGGATAGCTTCATCGTTATACAGACTTAACGTTCGTACAAGTGAAGTGTTGTAGAGTTCGGACAGCAATACCTGGCATAAGTCCACCGCCTGTCCATGTACACCCCCAACCTTGATATTCCAACTCCGTTTTGCGAGGCAGCGGTCAGAGACGGCAAGGTAAGGTGATTACATGTTTCGTCTCTACTCTAGGAATGACTCACAAGTCAACGAAGAATCATGGGCTGTAGTGTTTCCTAATTAGCGCCCATAGCTGATTTCGGTCGCAATTCGCCTTCACGAGTTTAGGGGAACGGGGCTTCGTGCGGCTTCAACATCCGTACAGCTAAACTACGTAAGATCTATCGCTCAAGGTGGTTGCTGTCTTGATTTTGCTCAAAAGGCTCGCCACGTCATCTATTTCGATTTATTTAGAGCCGCTTATTCCACCTAAAGCCACCAACAATCATCGACGCCTTGGAAGAAATGCATCTCCTTGTTCCCCGGGCTCCTTCGCCAACTGAGCCTTAGCTCAGTGAGTAAACCATAAAGGTCGATCGAAGGTTTACACAGGATGTCGCAATCTATTGTTAGCAGGATTCACAGTTATGGTTCGATCCGCTGCAGCCCTATGCAGCCCTATACTCTGAATAAGAAAAGGGGCCCCGAACTCAATTCCTCTCCGAGCCTGCATCAGTCAACCTAGCCTGTGATACTGCTAGAAATAGGCCTTCGGACTTGGGCAAGCTTTATATTAGCGACTGGCCATAGGCGTGTGGTACCTGGGACACGATGGCGCACACCAACAACAGCATATGCCTACAGTATAATACCTCTCCACGTGAGAGGAAAATGCAAGTTTTGATGTGAGAGGTTTTTGGGTAGGTGGGCAGCAGACCGTTCACTGCCTTGGAAATATCGCTGCATGATCTAGCAGCTGCTGTATAGCGATGCCTGGCAAGATTCATCATCTGAGGATGCTAGTGCTGGGGGGGTAGTTTCTGTTCTAGAGAAGTGTGTTTTCAAGATAAATCTACAGATAAACTTCAGCGGAACAGTTCTTCCGTTTTTCCTGTTGAGAGTAACATCTGGAATCTTATTTACATCCACATGTGTGTATATATAAGTGTGAGAACCACCTTCAAGTGAGAGAACCTCGTGCTAGGTCGCGCCCCAGCCTCTTGCGCGATATGGGACATGACTATACGGTTACTACGTCTAGACTATTTTCCATCCTCGAATACCAAGTCGTATAATATTCAGGGGCTTCTAATCTTGGAATTCTCTTGCGTAGTGGTAGCAGATCTCCCGTGGGCGGCAATTTATCAGCCTCGAAACATCCAAGTCTTGTTATATTCATCAACCTTTGCCCGTATACTTGCCCTTACAGTCTGTTGTACTTGGAGTCCGGACGCGCGTACTGGTTCTGCCTTCTCCGAACCCTATATACATTTGCTAGTGCCGACTGAAGATGCGCCATCACGATTACCTTTCTGCAGAGACCGTACTCCGGTATAGTTTGACGAGATATTTCTATCGGCCAAGGCAGCGATGGCCTCCTTCCTTGGTCGACACCCTCCCCAACGATTCAGCAACTTGTTGGGACCTATACCAAGCGCTCTCCCATCAGCCGTAAACCTAAATTTTCTTTGCACCAGGCGAATAGATAGCAGCTCCCTCTCCCACCTGAGACTTTCCTTTCTTCCCCAACTTCCCCCAAACATCTACCAAAAGTTCCATTTTCTGCTCGCAAGCGCTCCAGACAGCCAGCCAATTATCTACGCCCGCAATATTGCGCTAGATTACGAAAGGATCTTCAACACATTCATCAGCATTCTATCAAACGTAAGTGAGAATACCTTCTGACAATTCTGTGCCTCGTAGCGCCATTAACACCCCTTCCAGGCGAACCGCAGACAGCAAGATCGCAACCGCAATTCTCAGCGGCGATATCAACGCAAGTCAGTCATACTCCAGTAAGTAATCTTCTCTATACTCTTTTTGCCACAATTATACTGCTCCTTCTCCGGGGTTCAAACCAGAGCAGATGCTTGGGGGTCTTTTCGTTACAACCAGTGTTTGTATTGACCACGTGTCCCGAATACTAACATCAAAAAGTTGTCAATACACAAAGCTCGTCCATATTCATTACATTAGACATGGACAGCACACTCATCGCACGTGTGTCTTACGACGAAGACATTACTCGTCACCAAGACGAGTCCCGCCAGCACCCTCACGGGTGCATGTGCACCACATGCAAGGAGACGAGGCAACGGGGCCTTCAGGCTCCAGCCGGACGAACCACTAAGAAGTGGTTCACCAAGAACGTCAAGCTGTGTCCCAACGAGGGATGCGGCGCTATGATTCAGAAGGCCAAGGGTGGAAAGGGGGTACGATGCGAAACTTGCGGGCACGAGTTTTGCTGGACGTGCCTCGAGCCTTGCAACGGGGCCAACCGCGAGCATCACTGCCGTGGTAAGCGTGCCACTCTACGGAAGTGGCTTTCGTATGCGGTGTCTGGCTACGGCCTTTCACCAGGCCTCTGGGATACTTACCACATGTTCCTGGACATGTAATCCCAATACACGCACCACCTACCTCATCCCCTCTCATCGACCTTCACTCACCCTCAGCTACACCCTCCACAACCTCATGAAAGATTCAAACACGAAAACTTTGATCGGATGGGAGTTCCAACGACCACATACACGGCTGAAAGGTCAAAACCCGGAACGCGTCGCCTAAAGTCAAAACGGCAGACCCCAAGGAGAAGACAAGTCGCGCGAAGACACCAATCCCGCGCGCACAGCTTGAATCGAGAACCTTCCCGAAGCTTCGCAGACCACTATCAGCCATCCACAAGGTCAATCACACGAAGCTTCACACAGTCATCAAAAACCCCTCCCACACCACACACACATATACCGTGCCAGCGTCGGTCCAGGAGCCGCACCCATGGGAGATTCGGAAGGAACTCTTCGAGCTACACGAACACCAGCGGAGGAAAAGGAACCCATAGGCCCCAAACCATAACACCATAACACCAGCGGAGGACACGTATGAAAGTATAGCTGTAGCCTTGCCCTAGCTGCAGACAGGACATAAAAGGCTTTCGACCACGACAGCGGCGATTGCTCTGTTGCTTTTTCCCTTGCATGCCCCCTGTCCAAACCTCAATTGGACAGTAAGGAAGGATCTTCAAGGGTTTTTGTACCAGGACAGAGCGGGATTACGGGTTTTGCGCAGATTTTTCCATGTTTGAGGCGGTTCGAAAGTCAAAGTCGCTCAAGTCAATATGCGACGGCCGTTGAGATCTGCTATGCACGGAGGGTGGTTGGGCGGCGTGCATGTTTCGTGTCCTCTGCTATTTATCTATGATTAGGATCGATCTTCACAATATACTTGATTGATTCTTCTTCACCGACTATAATTTGTGTCCAGGTTGTAATATTGTGCTCTGTGATTAAGCGATGTGTAATCAATCTTGTTCTGATGTGAAAATGAGCCGTGAAGCAATCCCGGTATCTAAGTAAGCTTCACGATGCAAGTAAGTGGAATCGCTCGACTCCGATTATCTCCGACGCAGTAAAATGGGTCTTGTTCGTGCGGAGGTGCTACAGTTGAGGGGCGGCGCTTAGATAGCGGAGCAGTCTCGAGAGTGCCATGATAGTAAATGAATAGCAACTCATTTGTGTCGACTACACTTTCTTATCGGCTACTGACTTGGAGAACTCGAAGTTGCATTGGTATAATGGCTGAGGTTACATGTTACCAGATGTGGGTGGCCGGCGAAGAGCGACCAGGCAAGGGTGAGCTGTAAGCTGAATCACGAGAACCAACGTCTTATCTTCTATGCACATACTAAGTCACCACCAATAGCATCCCAATTGAAGATCCCGCTACAGGGGAAATATTTGCGACGTAAGGCTCTTCCATATTTTCAATTAAGTACGATAGACGTAGCTGAGGCCGGCAATTAACATTCTACTAGTTGCCATGCCGCTTCGGAAGAGGATGTCAACGACACTATCACGCTGGCCCAAGCCGTATTCAAATCCGGCGTCTGGTCGCGAGAGTCACGGCACCGTCGCGCCGATGTGCTAGATAAGTCCGCGATGCTTTTAGAAGCTGAGCTGCCGGACTTGATTGCGCTTGAAGTGCGACAGACAGGACGGGCGGTTCGCGAGAGTAGGATAACGCCCTCCTTGATATTATGTTGTGCGAGTGTGTTTCTTTGCTGACCGCCCCCTGTGTGAAGTGAAAGCGCAAGTTCCGTCGCTCGTGCGCTGGCTCAAGTACTACGCCTCCCTCCTGCGCGTCGAAGAGCGGCCCCTACTACCTACAATGGGCAAGCTGCATAACTTCGTCGATCGCGTGCCACTCGGCGTCGTCGTACAGATTACGCCCTTCAATCATCCACTGCTTATCGCCGTCAAGAAAATCGCGCCGGCCCTTGCGGCTGGGAATTCGGTCATTGTGAAGCCGAGTGAATTGACACCACTGACCACGCTCAAGCTTGGCGCGATTCTGAAAGCCGCCGGTCTCCCGGATGGCGTGTTCAACGTTCTTCCAGGATATGGAGCCCTAACTGGTAAAGCTCTTGTGTCGCATCCTCTCGTGCGCAAGGTTGATGTCACCGGCGGCGAAACTGCAGGGCGCGCAATAGGTGCACTAGTCGGCGGAAATCTAGCCCGGTATACGGCCGAGTTGGGCGGCAAGGCGCCTCTCATCGTGTTCAGCAGCGCGAACATCAAGGTCGCCGTGAACGGAATTGCCTTCGGTAGTTTCATAGCAAGCGGGCAGACGTGCATTGCTAGTACTCGCATCATCGTCGACAACAAGATCTTCGATACATTGTTGGAGACTTTGAAAGCCAAGACCGAATCTATAGCCAAACGCATGGGCTCGCCGACGAATCTAGATTCCATGATGGGACCCCTGGTTTCGGCCAAGCAGTTGCAGAATGTGGAAGGACTGGTAGACGAGGCCGTCGGGTCCGGGGCGGCGGAAATCGTGACTGGTGGCAAGCGGTTGACTGGCGTGAGTGGGCTTGACGGGACGGATTTTTCGAGAGGATATTTCTATGAGCCCACTGTTTTAGTGCAGGCTGCTGCTATACCGAGGGAGCAGTTCCGGAGAGCTGCCATTTGGCGCAAGGAAATCTTCGGACCCGTCATCGTGGTGGTTGGATTTGACACCGAGGCAGAAGCGTTGGAACTGGCGAACGACAGCGAGTACGGCCTCGGAGCAGGAATCTGGACCCAAGACATGTCGCAGGCTTTCCGCGTGTCAGAGCAAATTGACGCCGGAATCACCTGGGTGAACACGCATCATCGCAATGACCCCAGTAGTCCTTGGGGTGGAAGCAAGACCTCGAGTGGCCTCGGTGTCGAAAATGGAGTTGAAGCCTATCAGGCGTACACCACGGCTAAGAGTACAATCATCAGTTATGCATCGACGGAAGAGGCGTTGGCATCAGATGATTGGTTCAAGGACAGCCCCGGAGCTGTGAGGTATGGTTAAGAGGTGCATCAGGATGGTCCATCTGCTGGTGAAGCGCGTTGCGATATTAGTTAATTATTGACGTCTAATGCATATTAATAATAGCCTTACATGCTCACTATCACCTACTTGACTGCCCTTCTCTATTCTGCTGAGCCCAGCCGCACCTCACAAGCCAGAAAGCGGCCATGGGCGGCGTGAACAACAGCCCAAGCAACGCCCCCTGGACAAGCTTGAAGATCTGTGGTGCCCACATTGGCGAAAAATACCAGTCGCCGTCCTCATATGCCCCGACCAGCGTAAGCAAGCCAACGGATACGCCAAATATGACTGGGAAGAAAATGACGGCCAGGATAAGACCTCTGATGGCTTGTGACACGAGGAAAATGAGCCAGTGTGTGAAGCTTCTAACCTTTAATGTCTGCTCTTGCCGGTCCAGAAACATGAACCACCGTAGATACTGCCATCTGGGCTCCTTAAGAAAACCAATCGGCTGAACACCACCTTTTCTCAAGTCGAAGTTCACAAGTAAGCTCTGTATAACCCAAGTTGTGAGAAATTGAATGAAGATAGTGACGGCGGTATCGCCGGCAAGAGTGTTGGGGAACTGGAATAGCCGAATAGGGCTTGTAAGGGTGTCTTTATCATGGTACAACGCTAAGCGGAAGTAAGTACATATCTGAGTATCTAGCAGCTGGGCCGAGGGGGGCATACCATAAGCTATAGCGAAATTTATGCCTCCAGCTACGATGGCGGCCCCTACTCCGTTGACGCCGAAGATATAGAAGATCTGATGACGGGAAAGGCGGTCGCTCGGTGGGCGGAGTTTCGGGCTGTGGCCGTCTTTAGGCTCGGGGCTCGCGCTCCCGCCACCACTCCTGTCGTCGGCTTGGGCAATTTCAACGTCGACCACAGCGTTGCCCGGTACGCTTTTGGATCCGAATATGGGGTTCATAGCCCAGGGCATGATAACAATACAAGGTTCCAACAGGGGTCGTAGAGTACGAGAACACTTAAGAATTCATGGCTGTAGTCTAGAGGGAACGGGAGAGATAAGAAGTCTGTCGGATGGGCCGGAGAGGCAAACCTATCACATGAGCAAATGGTGGAGGACAATTGCGCGTGAGAATTCGTCCATGCTCTGCTGAGAATCAACCTGGGAACATTTCAATTACAGTGCAAAGAGTTTGACCTTCTCGTTTTCGTATTTATTTCTAAGGTCGTGTGACGCATGTGTAGGTAGGTATTCTGCTAAGAAGGAAGGAAAGGTCCAATCGAGGGTCAGGAAGAGCCAGGCAAAGAAATACCTGCCTACCTTTATGATCTAGCTAATCACTTACCTAACCCGCCGACCGGTATGCTATGTATACTTAGACTTAAAGCCCCTGACAATTCGAGCATGCAATTCCATTAATGCCATCTTGAAAGCGTAGGTGCCGATTCGCTACCGGCAGAGCTGTTGTACGATGTAACAAGGCCAATATGCCATGTACGGGCTGCTAACTGAGAATGTCCAAGGGTAATTCGCGAGCGGGCCTGTCATGAGATTTGTCAGGGGTCTCCCGGTATTGCACCCGGAGAAGATTAAACGTGATTGGACAACAGAGTGACTCGAGTAGCGACTCATAGAGGCGTAGGATCGTCATCTTTGTGATCTCTTCGGCTTTTATTCTTGTCGTTGACCGACCTACTTACTGCCTTTGTTCGTTTGAGAGAGAGAGAGAGAGAGAGAGAGAGAGAGTTTTTGTCCTCGTCGTTGACTTGTCTACAGCGCTGGAAGTCGGTATTAAAGTACAAGCGTAGTGTATCTAGCGAAGTGTCTACAGCACACTAAGGACCCGTATGCAGGGTCCTTACTGGATCCTTACAGGGGATTAGACAGTGGAGGCGTGTCAAATTTGAAATTTCATCGTCGAAAGGGGAAGCTTGGTAAATAAGAATCCTTTAGATAAATGAGAGGTGCTTAATGAGATACCTTTAGCTCTCATAATGCACTAAGCGAGACTCGAGCATATCGGGTATTGGCATAGCTGACGGGACCGATGACTTGGGCACGTGTACAAGACAATCTCAATTCTATATCTATCTTGGATCTGAGTACGCATGCTGAACGGCCTGATCTGACAATCAGTTCAAGCGCTGAATATTCATCTCTCCCGGACCTTCTTGGTCAGGTATTCACCTCACGATCCTTGGGCCCAGACAGTCATTCATTTCCGTATCACACGTCTGTGACACTGTAATATCGCGTGGGCGACAATAATTTTCAGCTTCCGTTCACCGGTTGTTCATCTTCCTCTGGCAATAGAGGTTCTGTTTCTGATTCTTTACGATCCGCAATCATCTCACTACCGGATGGCGGAAATCTTGAAAAGAATAATATTATGACCCCGACAAACGCAACAGCCTGCGGAATCTTGTCAGTAGAAAGCCAGTGAGTGGATAGAGAAGTCGCAAAACGTACGGCATTGCAGTAAAAGGTCAGATATGGCTTCCCTATGTCGGCGAACGACGAGAACACGAATCCAAACAATCCCATCGTCGTGAGCGTCGCCGAGTATTCTACCAGAGTCATTGCCTGTAGCGCATCGGCCTTGCGGTTTGGCGGCACCATTTCTGTGAGCACACCTTTCGCCGCAGGTGCTGATCCCGACGCAAGTGGAAGCAAGGAACCAACTAGAATCGTGTTAGTGACGATACGGGCGGGTGGTTCACGGTAGCTAGCCCGGAGACTAGCTAGAAAAGTTCATACCGAGGTACATGTGCCAGCCTTGTGTAGCTAAGGTAGAGGACGCTGTGATTATTCCATCTATGAAAAGGCTCCCTCTCAAGAAAAACAGGTCAAACTCAGCTCCCTGTGTTACTGCAACAGGCGTCGGCGGCTTTGCTGGCTCCTCCTGGTCTGCTACAACAGCCGGCAAGGGATCAATATCGCGAGCGTGGGTTGGTAGAGGCGATTCCTCTGCCACATCAGGCAACGGTGCTTCTGATTTCGTAAACATCCGCCGCCCAAACGAGATGATCTGAGGGAACACAAACATAAGGAATATCCCTCGCACCAAGCAGTTCACCGACATGAGTAAGCTGTTGTTCGTCGACGTGAAATCAAACGCGACCATCGAGTACATCTGTATCAATGTCGGTGCAAACCCCGTCGCAAGCACCCCGGTGAAGATTCCCAGTGCTAGGAAGGAGATTCCGAAATGTTTCTTAGCACGTCCATCTCTCAATCTCATATTCTGAGCCCCTAAGACTTTCAAAGGAGCTAAGAAACCCAGCGGTCCCTTTGCCTTATCTTTATTCTCGTCAGAGGAGAGAGTTTTGGGGTCGATATAGGGCACAAATGATAGGACGAATGTAGTGCACACCAGGAAGGATACAGCGGCAACTTCAAAAGGTGTTGCAATGCCAAATTTCTCAGCCAAGACACCACCCACGATAAGCCCTAGAGAGACGCCCATCATTAGGGTACCCTGGAGTCTTCCGAACATGGCAGTTCGCCCGGCGGGTTCGGTGATCTCAGCAACTATCGTGTTCAGAATCAGGATGTAGCCGGCAGGACCTCCCCAAACTCCCGTTAGCTGACTGAGCTGCATAATGATGATTCCAGTGCGCGCGCCGATGAACAATGCTGAAGCTTGTATAGCGACGCGAATTGCGGGGAAGAAAGTCTGAATCGCCAGTGCCTTTTTGGGGCCGTACTTCCTCATCTCCCAACCAGCGACGAATAAATTGGTAATCCCACAGAGGACCGTGGCACAGCCCATGATAGCAACCTGCTGAGAAGCGCTGGCCGTGATCTCATTGCGCGCACAGCGGTCGCCAGTTCCTTCGTATGGTGGGTGATGCTTATAGTACTCCTCACATGACATGACATAGAAAGTGTAAAGCAGGCTGCCGAAGCATTAGAAACGAGTGCCAATTGACCGTAAGAAAAGTAAACAAAATAACTTCGACTACGGGAAACTCACGGTGTCTGAGTGTAGCTGAAGGAGAGGGAGATGATAAACCCAGCGAGCAGGATCAGAGTCGTCGGCGCGATGAACGAACTCTTCGACTTGGGCTTCGTCGCATCGTATTCCTGGTCCCTCAGAAGGGGGGTCGTCTCGCCGTTAGAAGCCATCGCGTCGCCGTACCCAATTCACGAATATCCTTCGTCCCAAGAAACGATGAGAAGGCAGAAAGTCAAGAGAGCCTCACGACTCTGAAAAAAACTAATACCTTCGCCTCAAGTCCGCCCGAGACGGCTCTCTTTTTCCCCAGTTACGAGTCGAACCCTAGCATTTGCATCTGCACCCAATCCACCCAACCTACTTACTATGCCTGTTGTGGCAGGTGGACTGGGGGGTTCATTGGTGGGTTCTCACTTCTGCTTATCAATCTCACGCAACCCAGCTGAGCGCTATCCGATGCTTTGGATTGGCTCATGCAGCCGCCCTGGTGAAGCAGCTGTACTATTAGAGGATGAGTCAACACGCGCTGTCAACGACGAAGAGTCATCAAGCCGACTTATGCTGATGCCGTCACTCGATGGCTGAGACGTCCAGCGCCGACTACCATGGATATCTATCATACTCTGTCCTTGGCATCTTCAATATCTCCAGTTGACTCAGATCCAGTCCCTGTGTGGACTGTTCATTGCACCATGCTGAGTCCGCAAATGAATTCTGTAACTTTAAGAAGATATCAAGGATCAATTAATTATCTTGGAGTCGCGTCTTCGAGATTCACATAAACTATACAGTTGAGCTCATGCCTGCAAATTATTTACAAACTCACCATGATGACAGCCAAGCATCGATTGCATCGAATACAAATGCTTACCGCCCTTCTGATCCTATCCCAGATGCTGAATATTCTATCTGTTTATACGGCGCGTTCGACAGGACTCGGACCATGGATGTTGAATTACCTCGCCTATAAAAATGCGCTCGTCTGGGTCGTTCCACAACATTTTGTGAAGTAGAATAGCCAGCCTATTGACCTCTTGAGGTTGAAGACGGTTTGAAATCTTCTGCGTACCGTCGTATTGTTTAACACATATCACCCGGTCGCGGACATGATGCTCTGTGAAGAAAGATCTCATATTTTTTTACTTTTCAGCTTGATTAGATTTCTCTATCTTCTGCCAACGGTCTCTTTCCTTGGCCTTTGGTGTTGCGGTATTCCGCCCACGTATCAGCGTTTAGTTCCTAGTTTCCAGGGACCTGGTCGGCGGCTTGTTCCGAAGCATCCGCTGGGACCCACGTGCCGGTCATGGCGGTATCCTGTTCCTGGCCCATTCTGGATTGTCTGTGTCTTGGTACCATCGCCGCTCCCTGTTTAAGTCTTCGTGGGGGAGAGATGTAAACCCCGTAGCCTTTTCCCGAGAGTTTTGGAACCTTTTCAAACACGACACGGGAATTTGGAGATCCCAACTGGTAATTGGGTTGAGACATCAAGGAGTACCCGCTGGTAGTTTGTGTTCGATCACTCTCAACACCTTAAGGCACACATATGGTAACATTAATAATGTCATAGCGAAGATGCCTGGGTCCGCACACACCTAAATAATCTAGGGTGCTTCTACAAAAAGCAATGTAAACGAGACACGGGGAGTATAAGAAGCCACGCGACTTCTAGAAGGACGAGGTTGGATCTGCAGTAGGTCCCACATTGGATCTGCAGTATATAGGTGCTTATAGCTGCAATAGCCTATAGCATGCCATTAGCGCCGTTTTTTCTATACTATTTATACCTTTCCACACTTACCCCTTTTGCTAACTATTAACCTTTAATAACTTTTATAATCCTTTAATTTTATTACTTCTATAACTTTTTATTACCTTTAATACCTTACGTATACCTTTTTATTAATTATTATAAGTTTTTTATTAATTATATTATTTAATATAAGTTTTATAGATTTTTTAGCTTTAAAAACTATCCTAAACCTATTTAAAAGTGGTATAAAAGGTAATCCTTTATTTATAATAATTAATAACCTTTAATTATTACTTTATAACTATATAACTATTTATAGCTATAGCTTTATTTAATTTAATGTTTTAAATTATAAGGATAATATATTATATTATTATATAATTTAATAGAACTATTTAGGAACTTTTAAAATTAAGGCTATCGTTAATAAAAAGGTAATATTTTTAAAAAAGGTTAATTACCTTTAATAGGGAACCTTAATCTTATTTTAAATTAACCCTTTTTATTAAATATTTTAACTTTATTAAATAAATAATATTTATAGCTCCTTTATAAATAATTTTATTTATAGTAATCCCTTTAATTACTTTTTAAATAAAGAATAAAAATCTTTTATTTATAACCTTTATAATAATAATATTAAAGTTAGTTAAAGATTATATATATTTAAATCTACCTATTTAAATATTATTATTATATATAAAGATATATTTAATATCTTTTAGGATTAACGTTAATTTTAATTTAATAAGTTTACTTTAATTAAAGCTTTTATTAATAGGGTTTTTAATTATAAAAATAAAGGTATATTAACTTTTTATATTAATAAAATCCTTTTTAATAAAACTTTTTACTTTAGCTTTTATTTTTAAACTTATAAACCTATAATTAAATATTAATAATAATAGTTATAAATCTTTAATATTAATTATATATATTATATTAATTAATTTAACCTTCCTTTAATTATTATTAATAGTATTACTTATAATAGTTAAATAATATTTTTAACTTTTACCTTATTTATTATAAAAAATAAAAATAGCTTTAATTTTTTTATTATAAGCTTTATTAACCTTTTTTAAAATTTAACTATTAAAAATTACTCTTTTTTCCTAATAGTTATTTTTATTAATTATTAAAAAGCATTTAAATTTATATTTATTAACTATTTATTAAACGTTTAATAATAAATTTATATTTTTTATATTATTAAAAATATTATTATAAAAATATAAAGGAAATAGGTTAATTTAGGAATTATTTTAAATAAAAAAGAGGTAATTAATATAATTATTTAAAATAAAACTATTTTTTAATTAAATTATAATTATATAAAGCCTTTAAGTTTTAAATTTTTCCTAATAATTATACTTTATATTTATATTAACCTTTTTTTTTATTAAGCTTATATAATTTATTCTTATATTAAAGTTAAATTTAATAAAGTTTAATTATATATAATAATTAAATTTAGTTATAATTAATGTGACGAACGTTACATACGGCTAGACTGGACCTAACCTGTGAATATAAGCTAAGGTAGTGAGCCAGATTGACGGCTTATTATCCTGTATCCTTTTAACCTAAGGACCGTGGCGCAGTTGGTTAGCTTACAGCTACGTACGTTATAATTAATAGGCTTATATTTAATATATTTAATAGGTTTATATTTTAAAGAAAAGGGAATAAGTTAACTATTATACTTTATAATATTAAAATTATAATATATAAATTATATTATTTATAAAATCTATTTATAATATTATAAAGTTTTTACTTTATTTAAAAGTTAAAATTAACTTAATTATATTAAATAATACCTTTAAAAAGTTTATAATAGTTTAATATAAAAATATTTATATTATACTTTTATAGGAATATATAAAACTTTATTAAAAAATAATAGGTTATATTTAAATAAATAATATTATTATTATATATAGTTAAAAAATGTTTATTTTATTATAAATTAAATATTAAAAGGTTTAATATTATATTATATAATTAAAATACTTTCCTTTTTTTTCATTATTACTTTATAATTATATTATTAAAAGGTAATATAAGCTTCTTTATTTTTATAATATTTTAAAAAAGATTAATTTATATATAAAAAATACTATTATTTTAAATATTAATTATATTAAAATTAACCCTTTTTAATATTATTATAACCTTTATAATTTATTTTATTTAAAGTTTAACCGTTATAATATATAGGATTCCCTTTTAATTTTATATATTGGAAAATTTTATTATTATAGGTAGGTTAAATTTTAAAAGTTAAATATAATGTTATAAATCTCTTTAATTTTATAATAGGTATTTAATAAAATTAAAGCTTAAAAAAGGGAAGAATTTCCTTTAAAGTATATATAAAAAGGGTATATAATATATATAAAATATATATACTTTAAAAGCTTTAAAATACTATAATATAATAATTACTCCTTTTTCTTTAATTAAGTTATCCTTAACCTAATATATAATTAATTTATTAATTAAATATAAAATAAAAAGTTTAATTATATAAGTATATAATATAAAGTATTATAATAAATATATTAATATAATTTATTTATATAAAGCTTTATTATAATAAAAGTATATAAATATTAAGTTTATATTTATATTATAAATTATATATACTATATATTACCTTTATAGTAAAATTTATATATATATTCCTATTAATTATTTATTAACTCTTTTTTTTCTTTTTTTCTTTTTTCTTTAATTGCTGTTAATTTTAAAAATTAATTTTAGCTAAAAACTATTATATCGCTTCTATTTTTACTTCGTTTTCCTTTCTTTTTTTATTATATTTATATTATTATTACTATTATTTAAATTATATCTTTTAAAGGTAAAAAGGGAAAAGGTAAAGCTTTAACTTTAAAAAGCAATTATATTACTTATAGCGGTAAAGGTAAAGCGCTACTATTATTACCGCTATTTAAATATAATAAAGATACGGATAAAGAGTATATTAATAATAAAACGCCTATATTATTATTGCTAATATTATTAATATTACCTACTCCTTTAATATTATTAATACTACTATTAAGCAGTAATAATAATAATAATAATAACGGAAAGGGCAGTTTAGGTTAGGATTATAGCAGATCTATTAACCTTTTACTTAATAATTATTTAAACTATAGGGGTAATTTAAATATTAAAAGTAAAAACCCCTTAAAAAAATATAAATAATCTATAAGGATAAAAAATTAATATTATAATAAATATATTAACCTTATAGCTATACTATTTATACTAATATATTATAGTTATATTAGATATATTAAATATATATATTAATTTAACTTTAATTTTCCGTTTAAATTTAATTATTTATTTAATAAATCTAGCTCTTTTAATTATTATAAATATATTAAAGCATATTAAATATATAAGCTTATTAATATTTTTATACCTAACGCATCTCCCACTTGACCTGGCCACCCAATTGACCTGGCCACCCCCCTAGCCTATACAAATAACGTCGGTGCGCTAATCACGTGATAATTTAATAACTCTATGAATACTAATCATATAAAATAATGAGATATACCATTAGATTCGTAATAAAAAGAGCTATTTAACGGTACCCTTTACTAACTTTTA